GGGGGAGGGTGGGAGACGTACAGAAGGGCGCTGCTCCGAGACGGTCGATTTTGCGCGCGATATCGCGCCGGGGAAAGCGCGCATGCATGCATGCGCGGTCATCCCACGTGCGGATGTTTGTTCCCGTAACTACCGAAACGGATGTTCCGATAATGAAAGTTGAGACTGAGTTCGGCATGCCGGGAGTGCCGGGAGGGGGGTTAATTAAATCCGGGGTTAATGACAAACAAACGAACCTCAAATGTGTACGGCGCGTACAAACGGAAAATTGAATTCATCGAGTTGGTATCAAACATCAGAGCGAACATTGAGTTCGGCATTGAGTTGTCCTAATGCCGGGAAATGTGTTTTAGGCCGGCGATATTAAACAATCTCGCGAGGGCGGGGAAAGAGAGAGAGAGAGAGGTAATCGGGGGGCCGACGATCACCAGCGCGCTAACCGATGCAATCGGATGCAGTCCTCACCCGCGTCGGCGCAGCCTTAAATTTTAATGCCCGCTTCAATTCACCGTCCAAAGTCTTTCATTAAGAGCGCCACGACCCGGATATCCCGGGGGACGGTGTACCTATCTCTCTCGCTCTCAGCGGCCCGGCGCGCGTTCCCTGGGACTCGCTTCCTCGGATCCTTATCCAACTCACTTCGTAGTTTCCGAGGATCTCGGTCGGCGGCGGGTCCTGCCGGACGAATACGAGTTACCGCGGAAGTTTCGGGCGACCCGAAGATGTCCCTTGTTCGAGAAGTTGCAGGCGATATCCGAGGAGATAAGGAGGACGGGGCGGTCCGTAGATAAGGACGTCTCGAGCAGAGAACCGGCAGCGAGAGAGAGAGACCGGCTGGAAGGTCGCTCGGAGAGGCGACTCTCCGCGTAAGTGGATACGGCGAGAGTTTGGTCAGACCGGTCCTCTCTCTCTCCTGTTTCGCCAACGGCCGTCGTTTTGTCGCGCTACGCTGCACGAGCGAACGCGGTATCTCTCGGTGCGTCGGTTATGTTTCCTGTTAATTTATGACACGCGGCCGACACGAACTGCCATAGTTGTTGCCGGGCTCGAAGGCTTCCGGCCGCTCCGGAGCGTGCCGGATCCGGAGAACGGTGACCGGGCGAGCGAGCCGGGTCAACGACGCCGAGCGGCGTGTGCGCATCCTGCGTTGGTGCGCGCCCGGCTTCTGACACTCAGCCGCATAGTTGGCCTCTGCATACCGATTCCGCTGTCTCGCCGTGCACACGCGATTTATGCGAATTCCCTTTCTCGGCTCGCGCCGAATTCGGACAGATAGATGGACGGACAGATTTATTCCGCCCCGGAATAAATCCGTCGGCGGGGAGAGCGAGAGAAAGGACGAGATCGGAGATTGTGTATCGAACGAGATAACCGGCGAGGAGGCGGCGCGCAACTGCGAACACGCTAAGAATTCAATTCCGCCGGGGGATTACGCCGATTAATGGCTCGTTATCACGGTGCTCGGAGCGTTCGATGTAATACGATTCGGTTTTCGATGGGCTTGGCGCACGTTAAATATATTAATGGCATTTCTATCGAGTAACACACAGGGCGTTGCGTGTCAATTAACTCGCGGAAGGGGGCAATACTTTCGCCCGCCGCCAGGTACGGTGAATAAATAAAGAGGCATTATCGGCCGGAATGGTGGGCGCGCGCCGGCTATGATGAAGAATCGATCGATCCGCCGGCGTGTTTCGTCGTGATGTTATGTTGCCTGACGTGCGAGTTATTGGAATCGACGTCGGGCGAGATTACCGCGTTAGCGTCCTCGGCGCGCCCGGCGAATCAAATATCGCGTACGAATTTTCCCAACGACGTGAAATTTTCGATGGGCTTTACGCCGGGCTGATCGAATTACCGATCAATTATCCGACGTAAACAAATCCCCTATAAGAAGATTCTGACCCAATTTCGCGCCGGACGAGATGGGATCAGGGCTACGGAGAAAGGAGGAAAGTAAATTATTCCCCCTCTCTCTCTCTCTTTCTTTTTCTCTCGCACACTGAAATGTTGCAGCGCGTTCGAGAAATCAGAACGCCCGCGACGACATATTCTATTGGGAAATACAAATCGCTACACGAAGCATACGTAAGGGCACAACGTGACCCCAGATAGGACGAGTTCGATAATTAATGCCGGATCGTCATGGTTTACGTGCCCTCGATTCCGATAATTGCCGCCACTGAGATGAACGACTCACTCGGTGTATTTTCTTTATGCGATCTCACTTTGAAACACCGCGGAGATTACGGCCGGTCAACATTGTGAAGAATGAAAGCCTGGGTGGGAATGCCCGCATAGACAAATTTCCGGGATCCGAATCTGGAATCTGTTCCGATTTCCCACAAAAATTATGGATCCTGATTGAGAAATCTGCGGATTAGAGGTGTAATATTTCAAAAGTGCGAATTCTATGTGAGAAATCCGGATAGATTCCATTATTTCGGTTAAGTAGCGCACAATATTGTCTTGTGTCTCGAGTTTTCAACTAAACAGCCGTTAATTAAAAGAAAAAAAAAGTGAAGAAAAAACATGATAATTTGGGCGAAGATTTAAGACATCAAACGTTGTATTAAAATTGTAAGTTAGCTATTACAAAAATTACAAATCAGCCACAAGGCCCTCGAGGACGGCGGAGGTTTCCGCGTTACTCGGGAATAAATTTCACGTCTCGCAAATTCGACCGGAGAGTGTTCTTCCGAATAATCGCAGTGGTTATGAATTATCGTA